GGGGAGGGTTGGAGAGAGAGCCCCCCATTCCCCCAAGCCCCACTGCAAACCCCACAAGGCTCTCTGATCCCACCAAACCCTCTTGGACCCTTCCATCCTCCACCAATCCTCCCCATGATACTCACCTGCCCTTCTGACCCATCCCTGGAACCTGCTTTCCACCCCAATCCTCCAAGCCTCCACTATTCCAACTTATCTTAGATTTGGTGACCATTTTTAACTCAATCTAACCTCCCCCTATTTGCCCTGAATGTCTGTACTCACCCTCTGAGTGTGCATCAACAATTATATTTATAACTGTTGACAATTGGCTATGAGATTTCTTTCAGTCTGCAAGAACTCTGTTCACTTTCTATAGTGCAAGTTATTCATATAAATATATGGAAGTGCTTTTAAACATGGTAAAAAGTATTAAATGAATAATAATAGCTTTTAAAATAGAGAAATTGTTTTATACTTAAGATCTGTCAGCTATAAATAAACAGATTTCCCATGAGCTGACTAGAGTGAAAAAGTAGAGTTAACAAGCAGGTATTGTTTTTTATTGAGCCACACACCATGAATCATTGTACCAAAAAGCAACTTAATCTCCACACCGCACCTAACAATTTCCTGACTTCATTAATTTTGGAAAGCGCACTCTATTTGAGAACTGTTTTGTCTTGCTCAAACTTCTGGGTTTTTTTTAACTTCTACTTTAAAAAGTGGTCTTGCCTAGGGGAAGAAGCCAAGTTATGATGATTACCAAAATCCCAAAATATTTAAGTATATGTTGTATCTAGGAATAGGTGGCAATTGTGCTGGTTTCCTAGTCCTGAAGAAATGTTGGCAATGTTGTTATGTAAGCATGGGGGAGAGTGTGCCTTGAGAAAATGGGAAATGGAGTTGTTCACTGTACATCTACTGAAATCTGTCTTCATTCAGTATTCATATTCCTTACATCTGTGTGTAACAAACTAGTCAAATGTTTAGTGAATTGGTATCTCCAGTATAAAAACAAATTGAATTTTATTAATAGATGTTAAAAATCATGAACCAAAAAGATGACAGAGCTATAAGGGAAATACAGAGCACCCAAGTGAGGGACTAACATAAGAGGGATGGGGATGAGGAGGGGAATGCAACTGGGTTACGGAAAATACAATGTTAGCCAACTAAGCCCAGGGGTAGGGGGAGGAGTTATATCTTATAATTTCATAGCTTCTAGGGTTGGAAGGGACCCGAACAGATCATGAAGTCCAACCCCCTGCCCTGGGCAGGAACGAGTGCTGGGATCATAATACCAGATATCTATCCAACCTCCTCTTGAAGGCCCCCAAGGTAGGGGGAGAGCACCACCTCCCTTGGGAGCCCATTCCAGAGCCTGGCAGCCCTAACTGTAAAGTAATGCCCCCTGATATCAAGCCTGAACCTACTGTCAATCAATTTGTGGCCATTATTCCTTGTTATCCCAGGTGGTGCCTGGGGGAACAGAGCCTCACCTATTTTCCACTGGTCCCCCCTAGTGAGTTTATAGATGGACACCAGATCCCCTCTCAGTCTCCTCTTGTGGAGGCCGAATAGATTCAGGCCTTTTAGTCTATCTTCCTGGCCTGCTGCCCCCTGACCATGCGAGTGACCTTCCTCTGGACCCTCTCAAGTTTAGCCACATCCCTCTTGAAGTGCAGCACCCAGAACTGGATGCAGTACTCCAGCTGTGGCCTGACTAGTGCTGCATAGAGGGGAAGGATCACCTCTCTGGACCTGCTTGTGATGTACTTGTAGATGCACGACAAGGTGCGGTTAGCCTTACTGACTGCTTCCTTGCATTGGTGGCTCATGTCCATCCTGGAGTCAACAATGACTCCAAGATCCCTTTCAGCCACTATGTTGCTGAGAAGGGTGTTCCATAGCCTAAAGGTGTGTTGCAGGTTCCTTCTCCCTAGATGCAGGACCTTGTACTTGTCTGTGTTGAATTCCATTTTATTCTCATCCACCCACCTCTGTAACCTGTCTAGATCTAGTTGGATTCTGCCCCACCCCTCCAGTGTGCCCACTTCTCTAAATAAGCCAAAACTAAAGACAACAAATGACTGTCTTACTGCTAGTTGGCCGCTCACTAAGCCAGGAATACCTACTGTGGAGTAGGAGGCATGACCTCTTATACTGTTAATCTGATATTATATTCAGCACTCTGTTATTTCTTGAATGAGCCTTTGATACAGGCACAAACAGAAAGAGGAATGGATGAAAATGCCATTTAACTTAAGTGCTCAGATGACTTTTCATTTTTTTATTTAATGTATTTACTTATATGGTTATTCTTACAACATGAACTATATTGAATATTATAAGAGTTTTGTTTTTCTTTCCCTTAGGCATTTCCTGGAAATACAAATTCTGATAGTGTGGTCCGGCATGATTTGCAACATCCAGTTATTGCCCGCTACGCACGCATAGTTCCTCTGGACTGGAATGGAGAGGGCCAAATTGGTCTCAGAATTGAAGTCTACGGCTGCTCATATTGTAAGTTTTGTTTCTCATTTTGTATTATCCATTTTCTCTTTCTAAATATGGATGTCTTTTCATAATATGGATAACCATTAAACTCTGAATATTCAATATCTTTTGGTTAAATAGATTAAGACATTGTAAGACTGTTAATTATATTGCCTAGGGCTGCATGAAATATTTATTGTAACCTTAGCTCTGAGTTACTAGTTAGCTCTTGGGGAGATGCTATATTGGAGTCCACGATGATACTGCTTTGAAGTATTTTTTTTTAATCTTTAATATTGCTTTTGTAGAAGACTTTGGCTATTATTGCATAATTCTGACGAGACCAGTTCAGAGTATGAAGTGAAATAATGTGTTGGGTCCTGAGGGAATGGATAGGGAAAAAGATAAAATTTGTTAGTTTGTGTTAATGATAACATGCAAGGCTTAATAGCAAATAAAAATTCCATTAAAGATGCCTTTTATACATCTAAATATATCACACATTTTGTAGAGATAATCCTTGGATGCATATATGATTAAGGCATATAGATTTGTGGTGTAGTAGATATTACAGAAATAAAAGGTCAAACATAAGGTTCCTCCTCAAGAAAATTACCAGAAATAAAAATGTTCATAGGGCCTTATGTTCTCTGTTCTTTTATGACACTTTCTCTAAGTGTGAGCCAGTAATTTTCAAATAATTATCAGAAACCCAGTAGCTATAAATATGTGTTCTATTCAGGGAACACAATATTAACTGGGTTGGAAAATACCATAATGAAATGTCTGCTTGTAAAAAAAAAAAAAAAAAAAAATTTAAATTTTTTTTAAAAAAAGTCAAATACTTGTTACCAAGATGAGTTGTCTTTAAAAGCTACAGATGCATCCACCTTTCATGAGCAAATGCAAATGAGAACTCTTAATTAACAAACTTTGGAGAAATTATCTATTAGTCTACTTCTCTATGATTCATATTGTATCTATTATCATGGCTTCTGAGCTCTATAATTCTTATCAATACATAACAATTAGAAAAATAAAAAAAGATGGGGTTAAATTCTAATTACAATCACAGGTATGCTTGCATATTAATTTTAGGATAGTGACACATAAAGAAGACTAGGAAAAATTAAATTAATGTTTAGTGTTCCTCATAATTTTAGGTTTGATTTGGATAGACAGTAGGGATTACATTTAATATTAAAATGAAGAATAGATGTCTTCCTTCATATGTCAGGTGACTGACACCTTATATGTTGATGTCAAGGTCAATCAGTCAAAGGACAGTTTTTCTAGTAGCCTGATAGATGTGAGAAATACTGCCTGTGAATGATTAAAGTCTTCACTGAGGGATTACATGATCTGCAATCTGTGCATCACAAATGCAGTAGTAGCTTGGGTTCCTTTTGATAACCTGTTGATGACAGAGAGAGCTGTATCTGTCTCACAGTGTCCTTAGACAGTTCAGTAAGGACTACATTTTTCGAGCTGGGTCAAATCCAGGTTTTTTTCTGAGAATTCTGAGTATTCATTGATGTGATACTTGTAGGGACATCAGCATTGTCCTCAGATGCCTTCCAGTGCATCACAGAATCATAGGAAGGCCTGTTAATACCACACACTTGATCCTAGAATGGGTTTGAGGGCTTCAGCTGAAATAGTCTTGAGTATTGGAGATACTGTTGTAAAGGTAAATTATAATGTGAGTATAGATGGGGCATGTTTGTGCCATATCAAACGTATGGGTCCCCGACGGCCAATCTTGCTGACCGGGGTGGGGTCCCCCACAGCAAAACTTACCAACTGGTGAGTGTCTGCGTTGCTCCCAAAAGCAGCCACAGCCCTCCCGGAAGTGGCCATGGCCTACATCTGGCACGCACACTCCCCAGCCAGTGCTTGCAGGGGGCACTGGTGCTTCCGCCTGCCCCCCGCCCATCGCCTGAGTGGGGGGAGTGTGGCCTGACGGGGGTGTACCGGCACTCTCACCCCTTACGCATTGCCATTGGGCCATGTAAATATTTCACTGTAGTCATATACTTTTCAAAAATAGGAAGAGCTGTGGTTACATCAAATCTGCAATGTGATGCATGTTAGGGGTATGCAAAGCTTCAGTCACTGATTCTATTCAGAAGAGATTTGGCTCAATTTGGCGGCCAAATCTCTGAATCCAAATTGAATCAGGAGACCCATTAATCTCTCTGAATTGAATTGGAAGTCTCTGAATTGATTTGGAGAGATTTGGAAAGATTTGATAATTCATCCATAGATACAACTTATATGGAGTTTTTTGTACCTCGAGGTCCAGGTGTGCAGTTCATGAACACTCAGATGGTAGGGTGAATGGAGCATGGCTGGGTCCTCTGTATGCTTGGCGGCAGACCCAGAAGTGGACCAGAGCGTGCAGGGTCCCCCCCCATTCCCCAGCTCAAAGACTGGTGCCTCCTGGGTCTGGGGAGGCACCTGCCCTCCCCCCCCCCCACAACCAATCACTGAGTTGGGGAAGCAGGGGAGGGGGGTCTTCCACATGCTCGGCGGCAGACCCAGAAGAGGACCAGAAGTACTTCCGGTCCACTTCCATGTCTGCTGCTGAGCACATGGGGTCTTACCCATGCTCCTGTGGGATTTTCATAGATTTCATAGACATTAGGGCTGGAAGGGACCTCGGAAGATTGAGTCCATCCCTCCACCCAAAGGGCAGGAAGTCAGCTGGGGTCATAGGATCCCAGCAAGATAAGCATCCAATTTGCTCTTGAGGGTGTTCAATGTAGGTGCTTGAACCACCTCCAATGGCAGGCTGTTCCAGATCTTGGGGGCTCGGACAATAAAGAAATTCTTCCTTATGTCCAGCCTGAAATGGTCTCACAGTAGTTTATGACCGTTCGACCTCGTCATCCCTTGGGATCCGTCTACCCCACCATCTCAGTGTTCATGAGTCACACCTGGTACCTTGAGGTATGTAGAAAAAACATATAAAGCTGTATCTATGACTGAATTGGTAGTTTTCTGAATCCGAATCGAATCTTCGGATTCAACCATATCGAACCAAGACAGTGATCTGAATCAGCTAATCGAATCACTGTCTCCTGAATTGGGCCGAATCTGAATTTACTACTGCCGACTTCACACACCCCTAATAAATGTTTCCATTCTAAGGGAACCTATTCTATGAATTGAAGTAGATGCTTTGTTGTTTCAAACTCTCAATCAAGATCCAGCTTCTTGTAAAAATTTGAATAATTTTAACAGGCAAAGTGCATTTTAATAACACAAACAAAAAATAAACCCTGTGATCACTGGTGAAATATTTACTGCTGAAAGCAGCATTTTCTGATGAAGTGGCTGGACAAACTACTATAGCTACATACTAAGATGCTTTTAAGCCTTAAAGAAAGTAAATATGAGACAAAATAAAACACTGTTCAGTGACGAAAAGATATCAGATATTTGATGAAAAGTTGTTTTCCTGACAGGTGTTATGCCTCTGAAAGTGGAGAAAAGGATCTTCTAGGGGAAAAAAATGTTTGGACATAAAAATATTAATAAAATTCACCTTCACAGAAGAGTGGAATGGGAAAGTATACTGGGTCTTTTTTGAGAAGAGTATTGCTGAATTCATATTTTCAATAGTGACTCTTTTCTTCAATTTTGTTATAACAATTGTAATATTTTATATTTATTCTGTATGGTGCCTTCCATCCCAAATGATCCTAAAATGCAGGTATCACTTTAACCACCAATGAAATAGCAGGGTATGGTGAGGGCTGTGCTTAACTGTTATATGTGGCTGTTGCACCCAGCTCTGGGGTGTCTCACAGCCCTCCCCATGCATTGTTATATGCAGCTGTTACACCCCAGAGCTGGGCGTCTATCTGCCATTCCCATGCACTGTTGTATGTGGCTATAATACCCCAGAGCTAGGGCTACTCCATGCCATGCTTCTGTGGCACTGGGGGAATCTCTTGGATACCCCTGACCACATGGGCTGGACCAGGAAAAATTTCCAGCTGTAATCCCAGCCCAAAAAACTGTCCAGTTCCAGGAAAACCAGAGGGGCATGGCATGGGGTGGCCCAAGAAGGATTTCCACCTCTAAGCCCAGCTCAAAAGAAATTCCTTATTTGATCCCATATACTTAGTACAGTTGGCATGGGGGGACTGTCAGTGGCAGCCTGGAATGCACAAATCATGCTTTGGACTGGGCAAGACTCTGGCCAGAGATGTCCAGGAGAGTCCTCTGGTGACACACAGGCATGATGTCAAATGGCCTAGAAAGGATTTCCAGCCATAATCCCAGCCCCAAACAGGTTCCTTACTCAAGCCCATATACTTAATACAGTGGGCATGGGGGGTGGGGGTGTCAGTTGGCAGCCTAGCATGCACAAACCGCGCTTTGGGCTGGTCAGGACTTTGCTCAGGGTTCTTTGGGACAGTCCCCCAGTGGCATGGACAGGAAGTGGGTGCACCCTGCCCTGGCTGGCCACCAAACCATTGCCAAGCCTGGTCTTTCTCCGGTCTTCCTTGCCTCACCGTTTTTGACAGCCCCTATTTTAACGTCCAAAAATGGGGTTCTATTTGAGCTAGGCACTCTTGCTTTTGGGGATTTGCCTAGGCACTCACAGACTTAGAGGATTAATGGAGTTGCCAACACTGCAAGGTGACAGGAAAGCTGCCCATGCCAGCACTGTCCCCACACCCTTTCCCACCCTTTGGTACCACGCAGCCCATCAGGCTTTCCAACGGGGATGCATGCCAGGGGTTTCACACCTCATTTGTCAGCCTTGTTGGGGTGTTTGTTTTAGGGTGACCCCATCTGTCACCTAGGCAGTTCCCTCATTGCCAGGACAGCTCCCCCTGACACTGACCACAGTAGCAGACCATGGTACTGCCTCCTCATCGCTCCAGAAACAACTGTCAACCCAGGACTGACCCAGATGTGTCCAGCACTGGAGTTTAACAGCTACATATAACAGTGTATGGTGAGCGCTGTTATAAAATGTTATATGTGGCCATTGCATCCAGCTCTAGGGT